AAACAAAACAATCAAGTGGGTCTTGCTGATATCCTCTCTGCCTCCCTGTGTTTGCTACAAAGCTTTCAAATCCAACTGCTCAACTGCTCTTGTACTTTGAAAAGGCCGTCCTTTCCTTCTTGGCATTTACGGCACGGGCAGACCGCCAAGTCCGGTGTCCACCTCAGTGTCCACCCCGAAGAGTCTCCATGACCCTCTCCAAGTTGTAGCCATTTGGGACCCTGGATTCCAGGTGTGACCAATCAGCCTAACATCTCCAGCCATCCCAGTCTTTCCTCGATTTTTCTTCCAACAATTCCTTCCCCTGGGCGGGCGCCCACGGGGAAGGAAGCCGATCGCCCAGTTCGAGCACGGAGCGAGCACGGAGCGCCGCAGCCGCAGCAGCTGTCCATCCCCCCCGAAGCGCATTGGTCGCCTCCTCCACCTTTCCGGCTTCGGCCATGGCCCTCAAGCGCTGCCCATGCGTGTCCACCTCTGCGTTCCGCGCGAGAAGCCCAAGCGCGGAACGCAAACGGAGGTCCAACGGACGTGGACGACGCTTTTTTCCGGGACCTCCAGGGGTTTGGTTCGAGCATCGCGATTCTTCTAGTTACAGTGGTTGAACAATTAGATGACATACCCTATAATACACTCGTATCAATGACCATGCATATATAATTGATGACTCATAACTGTTAAACACATTGAACAAGTTGGCAGTTCACTTGATCCTCACACCATGAAGGCCGTTTTTCAACTTTGGGTGACCAAACAGCTCCAGCTCCGCGGCGGGGCCACACTGGGACGATCGGGTCTCCCGAGTCGGATCCCTTCGAGGATCACTTACATGGGGGGCCTGGGGAAGTGAAGGTCCTTTTAAACGATCTGGGCCCTGGGAGTAGTTAGGGAGCTTGAAAAAGTCGAAGAGGAAGGTGCAACAGGAACAAGTAGACTGCTGATACAGAGATTGGCTGACACCGCCTCGGGGGGGGGTTGGCATATGTTGGCATTCCAATCGAAGCTCCTCTCCCCAACCCCCGGCGAATCGGGCAGCTGAAACGATGTTTCTTTCCATCATTGGTCACCATTCGGCGAACACCACTTCCATGTGACCATGCAAAGCAGCCGCCGAAGCCGTTGAGCCATGGTGGTTGTCCCGCACTGCCTCTGCCACATGCTAAGCAGCTCGCTCCAGCAGCACCCGCACTTCCACGTGGCCATTCCCAGTTCCGTTGCTGCATTCTTGTCAGCCCCAGCCTCGAGCAACACCCGCACTTCTTAGCCGCAAACATCAATTAAGGCAGTTGCTCCGGGTTGCGTTGCTGCGTCCTTGTCAGCCCCAGCCTCGAGCAACAGCCGCACCACTTCCAAGTGGCCATTCTCAGCTGCAAACATCAATTAAGGCAGTTGCTCCGGGTTGCGATGCTGCATCTTTGTCAGCTCCAGCCTCGAGCAACACCCGCACCACTTCCAAGTGGCCATTCTTACCGCAAACATCAAGGCAGTTGCTCCGGGTTCCGTTGCTGCGTCCTTGTCAGCTCCAGCCTCGAGCAACACCCGCACCACTTCCAAGTGGCCATTCTTACCGCAAACATCAAGGCAGTTGCTCCCGGTTCCGTTGCTGCGTCCTTGTCAGCCCCAGCCTCGAGCAACAGCCGCACCACTTCCAAGTGGCCATTCTTAGCTACAAACATCAAGGCAGTTGCTCCGGGTTGCGTTGCTGCGTCCTTGTCAGCTCCAGCCTCGAGCAACAGCCGCACCACTTCCAAATGGCCCCGTTCTGCTCCAAGAATCATAGGTGGACGGTCAGCATGTGTTCCTGTGCAGTTGGGTTTTATTGTTTCCGAAGCAAACCTGTAACCTCACCAACTCCATTGTTCTCACAAGCAAGGCAGTGCCTCCCAATCGGCCTCCTCAGATGCACAAAAGTCCAGGATTACCAACTGCAAATTGGTAGTTGTCTAACAGGCATATCAGGCATGTCATCATGTAACTCGCCGATCTCTTCATGAAAGAGTCGTTGTCGAAATCTTGAGGATCCAACCTCTCCAACGAAGAGCTTCTTCAAATCCCCAACGGAGCGGAAACCCTCATGAAGCTGGGTGAGAACGGTGCCCGCAAGCGATACAATCTCCATTCCTCCAGCCCTAGAGATGGCTTATGCTCCAATGGCTACGGCTACGGATGAAATGATGCCTCAAGACAATCTGAGTGAGGCTTCACAAGGCTTGCGGCTTCATCACCTATCCAATATGACACCACGTTCAGTTCGAACTGAAAAAGATCGATCTGAAGCCGAAGTCTTCGACGGACGCGGGACGTGAGTCTACCTATGAAGTCTGGGCATCCAGACATAGTCCAAGGTCAGGAGCGTGAGTTCCCTGGGCTTCTCCAAGGCCTGCTCCGGGCAGGTTCTGGCAGAGGGCAGTGGGTCAGGTTCCTGGGACACCCGGGTTGACCAGGAAAAACGAAGAGAACTGACTACCAAGGAGGTCACGGTCAACATATCAGGGTTTCGGGCACCAGGTTTTGACCGACAATCATGGGGAAGATGTAATAATGATATATACGACCATGGAGAGGAATAGGACGCCAGCCAAAAGTCTTCTTTTTTGGACCACTCGTCCCCCATTTCGTGGAAAAGAACATCGGGCACTAGTTTAGCAGGTTTGCGTGAGTACAGAGTTGCTGTCTGATAATCTGACAGCTTGGCTCCAACCTGCTCCGCTCCCCAAACACACCACCACTGAAAACCTCACGCCTCAAAACCTTTCCCCACAAGCTACTCTCATCACCTGCCAGTTGCATCCATTGCTCCCCCCCTGCTGCCCTTGTCCTGCGGTCAGCCTGCCAAGAACTGTGAAAGGGGATATCTTGGTCTTCCAGCATGAGCTTCTGCCGGAGGTACGGGATGCCCATCCTCCGAAGGAAGGAATTCGGGACAATCCGTTTGCTCAGACCTATTGGGCAAAGGAATCAAGATTCTTGCCAGCCCTAGCTGGAAACGTCTTCCAACAGCAGTAGGCTTATCAGCTGGTGAACACTTGGAAAGAACATTGAGAAAACATAAAGAGTATGTTGTATTATACCTGGATGTGATTGCATGCAATGATTCCATGCAACTGCTCCTCAAGAACAGGCATCAACGTGGTATTGCAACTGCTTTACAACGGTCGTTCCACTACCAGTATGATGTTCCTCTAGGTTTAGTCTACGACGTAGGCTGTGTCCCGGCTGTCGCCAGGGTTGGTCTCGATCGCCTGGATCTCACTTCCTCCTTGACAATCTCCAGGAAGCCTCAGCCGTTCGGTGCTGTTCAGCTCAGTTGAACTGATCAGCTCAGTGGGTGTTTCGATGGTGCTCCCGGCGGTTTTGTGAGAGTGTACTTCTGGCCGACTCCATGCGAATCGGCGGATCTGGTGTCCCAAACATGGAAATGGCAAAGACGAATGTGGAATCATTGATTCATAAAGACTCATGTTAAGGAACCGTGCGCCCGGTGTCCTTCCAGCCTGGCACGTGGAAAGGCGCTTGTCCGGGACACACCGTCTTCTCGCGTCTCGCTTAGGGATCGTGCGAGCGTCAGGCGGAAGGAAGAGGTGTTACAAATCCAAATGGGGAGGTTACTAATGGTTCACCAATCCTTGGGGAGTCCACGTCAAGCACAAAATTGGTGTGGACCCAAAGAACACAAGTGATGTTCATTGGGGGTATCAAGGAGCACCACTCTCATTCGACCCTTCATCCCGTCACACCCCCCAGCCTACAGAGACAACCCACCCAGCACCTGTCCCATCCCTAAACCCCCGTCCCCAGCATCCTCCTGCCGAATCGTCCGCACACATCCTTCCGCTCGCTCGGCTTCCAAGGAGCTCCGATCCCCGGCCATTTTGGAATGAAAGAGCTCCGGCGACATCGTCAGCAAGGTGCGGCGACTGGGTCGCTCCACGCATGCGGCTGGGACCGCATGCCGGGGGGGAGGGCAGTCCATTCGTGTAGGCGAGATGTCCACAAAAAAAAGGAGCCTGAACCAAGTCACCTGAATGAAGATGAAGATGAGATCTGTTCTCAAAGTCTCTCTTTGATGAGATGGTTTCACCAAGTTTCACCCCTCAGGCGGCAACGAGCCATTGCCCCCGCTCTCATCGTCTCATCCACGTACCACTGAAACCAAACCACATCAAACCACCATCCATCCATATCCAGCACCACGGATTCCGGGTGTTCATTCATAGCCCCGAAAAACGAGGTCATTCAGGTATATATGAACCACCCCCCAATACTGTCCGGCAATCAACATGAAACCCACCATCCATCCATCGTCCCACCCATCTTCCGGCACCTCTCCGCCGCCTGCAGATGTATCATGGACCTGCCCTCCATCGCATGCTGCCGCCGCTCCGCGGCCGCCTCCTCCGCCGCCCTCCGCTTCGCCAGCGGGTCGGCCATGCCGTGCGGCCGCGCGGCCAAGCGAGGAAGAGGAGGGAAGTCGAACGTGGCAGGATGGTGAAACATAATAGTGGATTGGTTAGGAGGGTGTGTGGCATGTGTGGTGGGCCTTTTGTAATGGTTTCTGTTTATAAGTGGCAGGGGGGGCAAAACCACGCATGCCGTACATGTGGTCTCTTAGTTCCTTAAAGCAGGCACCTCCTCATTTCACCGGAACATACAGAAACGATTCAACCTCCTAGGCCAGCCCAGCTAGGTGGCTGAAAAGTAGAAACGCCCGCGGCGCTGGGTTCACTTTTGAGTGGGCTGCTCTTCCCGCTCCTGGAGTGGGCAGTTCAGGGATATCGTGGTCAAACCACCAGTGGGTCTCAAGATATCTCCTGTAGCACGAACTTGTCACGTGGTCTTCAAGGGAACTCCTACTGCAACTCACCTGCACTATCCTGGATGTCGGATTGAAGCAGGTCATGTCGCATATGAGCCATCGAATCTGCCGGTCACGCTGAAGCATGGTTTCGCCCGCATGGCTGGTGCATGGCTGGCGCATGGCGTCGCATCTCGATCCAGGTGTCACGTAGACGAACACGAAGGTGTGGCTGCTCCCCTCGGCCGATTTCGAGTTCAGCGAGTTCAAACACCGTGGTGCCATACTGCTCACGTTGGCCCTTGGAGGAATCTCGATAGATCCCAATGGCCAAGGGAGTTGGTTCCATGTCTCGATAAGGTTGATAATGAACCTCTTTTTTCTTCTGCTACTGAAGGATGATGGAGGTACATCCTCGGTCAGCTAGTCGGCTAGTACCCATCCACCAAAGTTCCTCCCTCTGCCCACTGCACCTCCCCTTAGATGTCCCTCATCCTCATCCTTTTCCCATCCCAGGCACTATCCTCAGCGGTCTTGAGCGTTGCTCGTCGACCTCCATGAAGGTCAATCCAGCTGGCACTACTGCCTCCACCACCTTCCGTCCAAGCCGCACCACCTTGGAGGGGGAAAGAAGGGCATGGACTTTGGGAAGGCTATCCTTAGACCTGGATGTGGTTCCATCCGACCTGGACACATGAGGTGGGGCTGGCTATTTAGTGAGTCGGGTGCATGGTTGAGTGTGGGGTTGAATCCAACCAACCAACCAAGCTTCAAACCATATCTGCCCCACAACCTCTCCCGTAGATCTTCAGCATCATCAAGGCATATCAAGGCTAATATCATCAAAGTCCTGGGTTGGATCAGATCGTTTTACAATTCCAAAAGGGCAAGGTCTGCAAAGGTGCGAGCAATCTCTCTCGTAATATGTTTGGCTGCCAGATGTCGTTTCATCCGTTCCAAACATTCCCACCTCCCCCAACATGCTGGTCTGGTCTGCTGCCTGCCCCGAAGACATTGTCCGCGGTCCGGTCCTCACTGGCCACCGACCAGGTCGACCAGCTTCGCGCGGCCTCCGCGGTCGTCGACCCGGCGCGCCTGTCCGTCCTGGGTCACTTGGACACAGAGCGGCTCGAAGATGATCTTGGCCTTGGCCAGGTCGGACCTCAGGAGGCTGGCTGCCAATGGGAAAAGGTGAAGACAAGCGCTTAGAGGGGTTTACAGTGGCAATGTATGGCAATGTTGTAGTGGTGGGGGCTATGGTGTTTGAGGTGGCCCATGATCCCACCAACTAGGGACCCTTGGCTTGTGAATTGCCCCAGATTTCTGGGAACTTTCCGTGTAGAAGGGTTTTCTGGTTCAGATTCATGCTCCTCTAATGCCCTGGCTAAAAGGGATATATGCACACCTTTTCGCTCTTCAGCAAGACGACAAACCATGAAACCGACTCACTCTGCATGAGAGACTTTCCTCCCTGGCCCTTCTTTACGGAAAAAAGACAAGTCATTCGTTCCCAACAGCTGTCCTTTAGACTTCTTCGTCCACGCCAGGCCACTCGGAGCCGCCCATCTCTTCTAAGGCTTCGCCTTCAGCAGCGCGAGGCGAAGCGAACAGCAGGGCTTTGGTGGGCAGTGGGCACAACCCACTGATGTTAGCTTAGGGAGTGGGCTCAACCCAACCCACTCACATCTTCGAAGGTCAAACAAACAAGCGCTAGCCCAAGAAATGTATAGACATGTCACATGTCGCTGGAGATGTGTTAGTTGTCTTTTGGATCTTGTTTGCTTGTTCCAAAACGGATGCCTTTGAGGACATCGGAACCCTATGGGTGGCCTAAGCGACGTGCCCTGGAAAAATCCTCATCTGCCTTTGCCAGGGTCTGGTTGCAGGTCCAATGGTACTTCAGTGCTGGATCTGCGGCCCTCTGGACATGGACGATTAGGCTAATGTCTGTCTCGGCATGTGGACATCCAAAACACAATTCCATCACAATTCCTGATCTCTCACATCCACCTGTATATAAACATATTTATGTAGCGGGAGAGAAGCCCCCCAAATTGGTCATAGAGTTGCTCATAATATGCCTTGGCTCATAGACTAGTCATCGAGTTCTTGGGGAATTTGAGTCCTTCGCACTCGCCCAGACGTGTTTTCGCCCTCCGCCGAGCGGCGCAGCGCTGCCCGGCGCAGCACCCGCTTCCAGAGCCACTCCGGCAGCCCGTTGCTTCGGTAGATCCAGCGCTGGCCGCGGAGCGGGTCGCCAGGGCCGATGGCAAGAGAGTCGGGCGAAAGGGTGCGAAAGGTGAAGTTCTCCAACACCACCCAACCTCCCTTTTAAAATCTGTATTTATAGTTTTTAATGTTTCTATATATATTTCTGGGTGGGGCGTTCAAAGGCTTTGCCGTCCGATTGTGGAAGGCTTCCTGTGGAGGAAATGAGGACTTCTTTTCGGGGCAACCGCGGAACAAGAACAACAAGTCGGAGAATATCCTGTTTGGGGCTGCACTGATCAGTTCTCTTAAGTCTTCTACTAGTTTGGAGGTAAAAAGAAGTAATTCTGGAGTGGTGTCGCCAACGCGCAAAAGAAGACCCCTGATATTGCAATAAGTAACGAGTCTTCAAGGGGGCGCAGGTCGATGGGTCCAGGCCAATGAACCTGGGAGGGTTACTGGTTCATCCAACTAGTGATGAATTGGATGAACGTCGCATGGAACAAGAATCGAGAGCAGCCTCACTGGACAGAGAAGCCAGTAGAAGCTACCCCCTGCTGGAATCAACTTCCAAGCCCAGCCTGTGTTTTTGTTTGCCCTTAGGGAGGATCAGTAGCTGATAGAAGCTGACTACTCAGTGACCTGTGGGGAAATGATCCAATCGCGAAGCTGGAACCCCACAGAAATCTCCATCCCAGTCGACCATGGGCAAGTCATCACAGGTAGGACCAATCACATCATCTGGCTGGTCCACTAATCCAAAGCTGGGAGCCCCACCCAGTGGACCCATCAACAAAAAACACCGATGGATGGGGATGAATTGTGATGAACCTGATGAAATGGAGGTAAACCAGACTTTGGAACCTCCAGGTGTTGATCCACAAGGGCAGTGACCCATGGCACCACAAGACCCTCCAACCAGCGCCCGGGCGGGGTTGAACAACCCCCCCATGGATATCAGATTCCTCCCAAAAAATCCAACGTCGCTCCGGTTTTGCTGCCGCTGGAGACCTCCTCGGGCGAGAGCATTCCACCAACCAAGCCCCAGGTGCCAGGGTTCTTGGCGCGATCGGCATGCGTGAAGGGAGCGGGAAGCACGGTGCTCCCGCGGTGGTCGAGGACTTTGGGTGGGCCGAAGCAAAAGGAGGAAGAAGAAGAAGAAGACGAAGAAGAAGAAGGAAGAAGAATTAAGAAGCAGAAGAAGAGGAAACAACCAAAAATATCCAAAAATAAGAGCTATTTTTCTTAGTGACAGGGCCCCAAATGGTCCCAATCTAGTGGGGTCGCACCTTGCATTCACATTTGAAAGAGTTTCTAGTGGCGTGTGATTCCTCGCCGTTGGGGGTGTTTCCACGGCACCCGGCTCGGTTGCTCCCAACGGCGGCTCCGCTCGAAGCACTCCGCTTCAAAGCCACCGGTCGGGTAAAGGAACGCTGGCCTAAACTCAGAGAAACGCTGGAACACTCCGCTCATGACTACTTGTGGGGGAAGACCTTTGAGGAAGTTTGCTCAACATCTTTCAAGCATCATCCGCATCTACCGAACACCTGCATGGGAGGCATCCTCTCCATCCTCTTGCTGCTAACTCGAACGCTGCTCACCGAGATCCGCCCGCGTGGCCCCTGCGAAGAACCTGGTTTTACACACCAAGCATCGGTGAGATGGGCTGCACGGTGCTGTAGGAGCACCTGGATGCCAGGCGCCACCGAGATGCCATGCAAACCCATTGATGTTTTTCTGAATGAAACCATATGGAACCCCCCCCCCCGCGTCGGGTGGAGTCTTAAATCCAAGAGTTCGACCTCGAAAGGGACAACATATGAGGACAGAGTCCTCCCCCGGAGAGTCTTGGTGTCATCTCCACACTCATCGACCTCCTGACTGGGGCTCTGTTTCTTTTCATTTGCTTTGCCGTTCATGAAGAAGAGAAGCCTCCGCCTTGGAGGATGACCATCTGGCACGAGAGGCGAGCTTCGAGGGGCGACCGGTGCGCGCCTCGAAGTCATCCCCAGCGGGGCGCAGCAGCAACAAGAAGGCACCCGGCTTCATTACGCGGCGTCAAGCGTGCCAAGTATGCTGCTGGGACTGCTGCTCCCAGGTCTTTGCGGGATGCTTTCCCAAAAAGAATCAGGTTGGTTGAAGTGGTCAACATCGGTTGACATGATGGCAAATATGGGCTGGCCTCAGCAACCATTTGGTGTCGTTACATATCCCTTCTTCGTAGAGGGTCCCCAGAACTTGGTCTTGAGACGTACCAAGACCCTCTCGAGCCCTCCAGGGCAGAAGTATACCACTGTGAAGGCGCTAGATGTCGCTAGGTGTGGCATGTTCTGCACTCTGACAGGCGGCGCCGGGCTGCCAAAGCCAAAGGTGCTATGCATTGATATGGCGGAATTCGAAACAACCTATGTTATATTACAATTTTTATATTTTCACTTTTGGGTCTGCAACGTGAGTCATTATGAGCAAGCTAGTGGGCATCTGCGGCATCTGCCGGCCTTTTTGGGGCTTGGCATCGCTTGCGGACAAAGGTTGGATTGCGGGAACCACATCAAATCTCTGAGACGACAGATTTGTCAAACGAGATTGGAGGGAGAAACCTCCGCAGAATGATGCACATAAATCAAACCCAGTGCATCCCAGTTACCAAGGAACCAGGGATTCGGTTGGTCCATGGTTTTAGTCTTGGGAACCACTGGTTACCAGCTATAGTGGTAACTGGATGCCCTGGGAAACACAAGTCGTGGAATCCGCGTAATCGGTTGCCGGAGGTAGCACCTTCTTGCCGATTCAAAGTCTCCAGATCTGTGGCCGATTCGAGGAAATGCCTGCTATGTTAGTTAGACTGGAGGAACTGCTTTACAGTCAGCCTCCAAGCACGCCAAGCAAGCGGAAGTTGGGCGTCCGACCGATCCCCAAACCCCGAACGCTCCGAGTGTTCAGCCACATGCGCCTTGTCGAGAACCTCAGAGAACCTCAGCACGGTTGGGACCGATTCAAAGGCCCATGTGCATTGCAAAGGAGGAGGTGTTCATGTTGGGGAATGTTGGAAGGTTGATTCCACCAAGAAGTGCTCTTCAGCACCAATCGATACATTCATGGCATCTACTCTGCTGGCAGGGCCTCTCCAAGGCCTGAAGCTTCTGCATATTATTCTAAATCAGTCCCAGCCCAAAACCATGCACTCCAGGCTCTTCGTCCACATTCACCTGACCTTCTTCAATCTACACTCCGGAAAATTAACATGGAACCTGAAAACCACCCAGTTGTAGAGGAAAATAGTCTTCCAAAGCTGCATTTTCAGGTTCCACAGTAATCTTCCCGGGTGTAATTGACCTCTCGAACAAGCACCACTAAAATAACGGAGGATCCAGACACCACCATGGATCTTTCAACCAGTCATACCGCTTCATGGCGCCTCTCGACGCGTCTCCACCTTTTTGTCCCCCGTCTTTTGGGCGTTCTCTGCTTCTCTTTTGCCGCTCGGCGCAGCAAAGTCCCAAAGGTATCCGCTGTTAGGAGCGAAGTCCCAATCCTTCATCACACTCTCCTGGCCGATCCAACGCGGCTGATACCAAAACTACACGTTTACAAGCTAGTGGGAAAGCAACCCAACGCTACCTGCCAAGGGGATCAAAAGGGTGCTATGGAGTCGCACCTGGATTTATGGTACCATTTATGGCCCCGAGCTCAAGAACCCTACAGTAGGCAAGGGGGAAGCAACGTCTTCAGCACACCAACAACCCCCCCAAGAAAGCGGGCCGGCCAGCCATGAACATTCCCCAAAGCTACTACCAGACTAGCAAATTAGAGGAGTGGACACTTATGTAACCTGGGCCCCCACCAAAAAAACAAAAAACATGCAGCGATCCCCCACACCATGGGGAGGCCTATGCTTTTCAGCTTGGGATCGGAGGGGGGCCAGGGGCATCGAAGGGAAAACGGTCATCTCCGAACGGCGCGATTGGATGAACGAGATCTCTCACCCTGTTGGTCATCACGTTCAAGTCACCCGATCCACCTCTCTGTTGTTTCTTCAGTGTGAGGACCCAGCAAACGTATAGTGGTGTGGTGAAGCACTATCTATAATCTATCATCATATATTTATATCATATCCATATATATGTAATATACATATATATATATTATATATATATCAAGTGTCATTATTATTAACACCAAAAAAGTGGAGATGGATATTTGGCGGCACAAGTCATATGACGGATAGATAAAGCATGATAAAGCAGTCCACTTATAGTCTTACAGTGCTATATATCTCATTACGTTTTCTCTGCGATCTCCATCGAGGCGAAGCGCCTGAGCGGCTCGGGTCACCAGGAGATCCTTCACCGTGGCGGCACGGTAGGGCGTCGCCAGCAGCTGGTGGCCCAGGGCCTGGGCGAAGAGGGGTTTTTCTGGCGTCCCCCAAAAAAACAGTGAGGATGGCCAGGATGGGTTAAAACATGCTTTAAAAACCGCCAGGGATGTGGTTTCAAATGGTTTCAATGGTGTGGCCTATGTTATGCTATATCGGTATATCCGACTAATTAAATCGAGAAAAAAACACGCCACAGGCAACGAGCATCGATGGACCACCTGGAAGATCCCTTGGAAGCGGATGAACCGCAAAAAGATCCCAGTGATGGTCCATGGAGCGGTCCATCTTGATCGGTCTGGATCACTCATGCTGCTGATGGCCTTCAATGATCGAGGAAGTGGAGAAAGCGTGGGGTATACCTCAGGGACTCAGGGGACCTTGCCTTAGGTTGAACGTTTAGGCCTGTGTCTGGGCCAAGTCAAGAACTGATGAAAAATGAGAAAGTTAACAATTCAGGTTTTGAGAATCTGGAAAATGTTACATTTCTGCTTTCAGCACTCTAAATAAAATCACTTTCCTGAGTTCCGGAACATGGAAAAAGTTGATTTTCCTGATGTCGGAATATGGAAAACACACATGTCCAACTTCCGAGAAACATAAAAAAGTTATCTTTTTCAGTTATTGAAAATTGGAAAAAACAACTTTTGTGTATTCTCGAAAGTTAAAAAACACATTATTTTTAGATTTCTGCAACGGAAAAAAATACTTTTCTGAGTTCTGGAGATTAAGAAAACATATTTTTCAGGGAATCCAGATCACTGCAAAAAATAGTTATTTTTGAGTAGCAGTAGCAGTGTCTGGAACTCTACTCTACACTTCTGACACCACGTGGCTTTGTCCCTGAACCAAAACTCGGAACGCGCCGACTGGCCGCCCCCCAACCCAGCCACCTTTTCATGAGACAGTCGGTCCACTCTGTCCAGTCTCCACAAAGCCGAAACAAGGTACAAATGGAAGCGGTCGATTCGATTCCTGAATCTGGCCAACAGGGATCACCCTTTCTTACTCTTGAAAAATTTGGCAATGGACGCTGAAGCTGCAGGCTTTGCCTTGACTTTCTGTCCCAGCACACTGCGTTGCCGTTTTGGCTGAGCATTCGGACTGCGGGACTTGACTGACATTGCCTTTGCAGTTGCCTTTGGCGAAGCTGCAGGCTTTTGCCTGACTGGAATCTCTGCACACTTCAAAGTGTCATATTTGCTTCGGGTATGTCCTGCCGTCAACTGACCAACTCGCACTGGCTTGGTCGATTGGCGTTTCCATCTTGCAAGCTCATGCTGCCCAGCACTGATCCACGTAGGCCTGAACTTCACACCTGACAGTGCTGTGTGACACTACTACTGAGCGCCAACCAACCACACAAAACCCTTCCCCCTGCCGCAGCCCAAAAATTGAATCGAATTCTTTGCGCCTACTTCTCTTCCTCTTTCTCTTCCTCTTTATCTTTCTCTTTCTCTCTCTCTCTCTCCACCAGTCTGTCTACCTCACATGCAGCTGTACGGTCAATTTTTCAATCAACCGAAAAAATGAAGGGGACAAGGTTCTGCTGAGAACCACGGCGAGAATGGCACCAGCAGCTGGTGAGGAAATTGTATTGCCAGCCATGCGATTCAGCTCTATGTCCTGACTCACCCGCAACAACAGGCAGGAAACACAATTCGTCAGAATTAAAGTTCTGGTCCGGTCCATTCTGGTTCTTGTTCGGGTCTGGTCTTGACAAACAAGGCTCCGGAATGGTTTGGTGCTTGCCATGCACCTCTCCACTCAAAGCCAAACTTGGAAACCCGTGTCCAAGGATCATGAGTTCCTCTCCAAGCAGGAGGCCTGGGCACACCACACACTGACACACTCAGAAACACCACAGGCAAAGCAATGGTGGCCTGAGGCAGTGAAAGCAAAAACACACTGAAACAGGGCCCGGACGACTCCGAGCAGTGCTCCAATACAGGTGCCCCTTTAACAGGCAAGGGAGAACGTTGGCATATGATGGATCCTTCCAGAAGGTAAAGGTAATGTTGTTGGTCAAGTCCCAAATGTATTCTGCCGAAGTTGGCTCTTGACCCAGTTGCTCCAGCCTGAGCCGACATTGTTGTCGCCAGTCACTTTTTTTAGTTTTGGCGCGCGCTCTGCTGAACTAGAGCATTTAGGATTTCAGAAGAGTTGCACCCACAAGTGGATGACCAAGCTTGTCTGCTCTCTTGGTGTCAGCACACCAGTCCACAAACTCTGAAATGTGTCCAATAGGAGCTCAGTCGGTGGTACCTTGGAGCTGGCAGTCCAATTTGCAACAACACAGCAACCCAAACTAACAAACTGACGCGCTTCCCAGCCCGAACTGGTCGCCCACGCAAAGTAATGCAGGCGGTCCGCCTTTTTCTGAAACTCCTGTTCCAAGTACTCTCGGACGTTTTGAGCACGCTCAAAGCAAGCTTTCCAGCCTTCTCCGGTCCTCAATCTCTCACGGGCTTTCTGTGCACTTTCTTTTTTCCGCCCTCGTCTTGACCGCATATCAGCTAAGAAGGACAAGACCTTGGGGTGGTCATTCGGCAAAAGCAACGAGGATAAGCGCTCCCCTGCAAACAGCTTGTCGGCCATCAAATCCTTTTGAATTGCCTGCCACTGAAGTGACGGGAATGAGAGAACATGACTTCTGACTGCTGGTTTGGCAAATTGGGCGGTGCACAACACTGGCATTACCCGCCTCTATTTTCTCGCTCCAAGTGTCTGGGTCCTCCACCAACTCGATCTTGTCCAGGTTGACCCCGAGCATGAACAATCTTGTCCTTGACTGGGGCAACCCAAAATCACATGAGTTTACCACCCAGCTCCGGGAGACGTAGCCTATATTCTCAAGCTCTGAGCACACAGTCATTGCTGTCCCAATCTTGGCCACATTCTCCAGCAATACAATCGCCTAATCAGTCTTGGTCTAGGCAGGCACAACGGAACAACAAGAAACTTGACTCTTTTGGTGGTTGGATTTTGGCTCGGCGTCGGTCTTGGTCTATGCTGGGTTTCAAGGGGCAGCCCTTGGGGCCTGAACATGAGCCGCGTGGCAGGGCGTGTAGTCTGGACATAGTTCAAGCTTGCCGCAAGGGTTTGAGAGCTTTTTCCAACATCTGGCTCAGCTGCTGCGGGTCTCCTGATTTCTCTCGAACTCCGACCCAGCTCCACCCCAAGCTGGGCTGAGCTGGCTACCTTGAGCTCAAACTAACAACAATCCAATTGAAATCAAGCATCTTCTTCACGTTGCCTTTGCTATTTGGAATGACCAAAGGCTTCCGACTGCGGTTCATATTGGAGAGATCCTGAAGAAAAAGTGGTTTTGCTTGAGCCTGACTCTGGGTGGATTGAGCAAAAGCAAAAGCCACAAATGAAATTGCTGGGGCGACCTGCCTGGCATTCAAACCCACCAGTGTATATAGATACGGCGCAGATCGGCGTGGTGGTCGGGCTTTGTGAAATCCAGTCAACTCCCAGCCCGTTGGAGGCTGCCTAACAAGTTGGCGGTTTGAGACCTAGCACTAGCAGTAGCAACTAGCTACAGTAGCTTACCTAGCCAGGGCCAAGATCATTTGAGGCCACGGCCCTGGGAAGCATGTCTTCCTTGGAAGCACAGTGGCGGTTCGCCGAGGCCCACAATCCGAAAAAGTTCAAAAAAGTCACCCGTCACTCGGAAACACCCTGAACAATACAGCGCAACTGTTTCTTTGTTCAGTCTAAGCCTAAGCGTCATAAAGCACTCTAGGGCGGTGATTCCACAGTAGCATGCACTTTTGGTAGTGTCCGTCCTTTCCTGGTGCTTCACTGCAGAAAGTGTGCGCAAGCAAAGGGGTTTCCCAATGCTGTTCCTGCCAGGAGCCAGTCTACGGCCTACAGTTACAGAGGCGCGCGCAAACAACCCGAACTGTCAAGGAACCCACTCCGTGTCAAAATGGCCCGGCCATAATCCTGTCCACTGTCCACCTATTAAAAAACACGCCCCCCCCCCTCCCCCTATTGAAAACTCGAGCGCATTATTTTTAAATAGGGGTCTGGGGGTCCCTGAAATCGGGGCGTGTGTATCCACCATGACGCGCCGCGTTACACCAGCAGGCGTTCCTTCCTCCAATGGTACGGACTCACGCAAATGCACTTGCCACCAAGGTCGTGCAAAACCGCATGGCACAGCGACATCACCTTTCGAAAGCTTGGCTTTGGTTGTCAGTCTAATGAAGAATCAGTATTCAATATTCTAATAAAGTCTCGGACGTGGTGTTCTTTAATTGGGGAGGCTTACTCAGGACTAGTGACTAGTCAGACACATTGACACACTGTGACAGTGACACGCTAGATCCGACAGTCCTCCATCATAGGCTGGAGGTGCTTGATGACACTCTTAACAGCAATGGCGGGGGCATCCACACCGGAGCAGTCGCTGCCATAAGTGAGCTCACCACCACAGCACTGAGAGATCTCATGAAGTCTCTCGCAAAGCACCAGACCCAAAGTGTTGGCCACAGAACGTACCCAACACTCATTACCTGAGGGAGGCCCCAATGAAAAATCCACTGGCGCCAGTGGCGAATCAACCTGTGCCAATGTTCCTGGCGGTTCAGCCCAAATTTCAGGCTCAATCTCTGCCTCGGAATCGATATCACATTCAAGAGACTCATTTTTCCAGCTCTTCCAGTCCTCATCAAAACCTGCAGAACTTTGTATCGACATACTGAGGACCACATCTGACAGGCTAGGGCCAGATCGTAGGACTCTGCCCCTTGTCACGTCCCAGTGCACTCTATTTTCACAGTCTCGCAGAGCTTTTGACAAGTCATGACACGCGGCCTGGTTGACAATGAGCCCAGTGTTCTGGCTATCACCATGACCATCGCCATCATCCTGCAAAAGCTGGCGGTGTGGTGAAGACTTGAGACACCATTGACTCATGACTCAGACTTGAAAATTGAACAGCCGGGCAGCTGGATTCCAATTTGTGTTTTGGCTTGGGGATTGGCAAACTCGATACGCACACACACACAGACACACACACACCCATGGCCAACGGCCCATGACTCATGACCCCACGCCCCACGCACAGTTCAACAGTTGTACAGTCCTGTGGCTGCACCTGGGTTGGCATTCTGCAACTCTCGTCTGTAGCGCTACTGAGTGCCCGTTGGTCGTGCTGGCTGCTGCTTTCCAACATCTCCAGCTCCCCTTGGGCCTCCAACAAACACAGAGAGAGAGAGAGAGAGAGCCTATGTACAGGCACAGGAGGCATGCATAGGCACAAGACTCTTCCGCCTTCAGCGCAGGTGACAACGCGTCAAGGGGGTCCACACAATCAGTTGGGCTCTGGCTTTGAAGCGGCTGAAGCGCG